ACTCGTATTAATGAATTAAACCAAACAAAAATGAACTTTACTCAACGCTCTAATTACCAAACAAATAATTTTCATACAGAGCTTATTGCTATATCATTAAAATTTTACATATGTGCTACACATAGATTACTATAAAATTTTATACCAAACTCGCTCGGTTTTTTAATAGTATATAAATCAATATCAAATGTATATCGTCGAAAATTTCTAGGTTCAAGATTTTCTAATATTCTATCAATGATAAGGATATCATTATTAAGGATAATAATCATGCGTTTATTTTGTGAAATATTTTTTCGTGGTTTATTCACATGCGATTTCTTCAAAGAGAATCTAATAAATATATAGATGCTTTTAAATGAAAGGCTTGCAATATGCAGACACGTGGAATTATTTTCTTTGTACAACAGAGTTACACTCACGTTCGTATATATTATTCATAAAAGAAGAAATCTAATGAATATGGGTGATGCATTTGGGAAATAAAATTCTTTTCCCACAGAAAAATGAAATGTTCGCCTATTTGTGAATAGCCAAAGACAAAAGAAGTTAAGAATATCGCCATATTATCCCTGAACAATAACCTTCTCACTTTTCGTCTCCACTCGGTGCATTTACTTTCACCGTTGTCTTATTGCATTTTTAATTATCACAGGCCACCTCGTGTTGTTTGAATATTACGTTGGCGTCGAACAAAGAAACGACTGATGGAAAATTTTTATATCGTACACATCGTGGTAGGATCGTATCAAAGTACACATATTCAGTTTCAAATGGAATTCAACATTTCAAATATATTCTATGTGGGCAATTAATTATGCCACTCAATCATTTAAAATCTAATCCAATAAGTGCTTATATGATTATTTAAATACACTTTTTAATTATTATAAAATACAAATTATGCAAACCATTATAAAATTAATATAAATTGTAGTTGATCGATTATTTAACAGACAACCCTATTAAGGATTACTTCAATAAAGAGCTCATTCCGACATTTAAAGAGGAATGAAAGACGGAAAGAAATTAACACGAAGCGAAACAGTTGGGTATTTTATAAATCTTACAAGAAAGAGATTATGTTTCTTCGATGATTGTTTCTTGAACGTTTACGTCTCCTGATTCTTTCTTCATCTCCATCCTTTTTCCACGTTGTAATTCCTGTTTGTGATATGTATCGTAATAAATGTTCTTGCAGATATTTTGCCATCAAAGTTGACAAGAACCTCGACCATTCTTTTTCATTAAGTCGAGAATCTCGTTGATGCTCAATTTCGACCAATCCCTTTCGATCACGTTTCTCCAATTTCTCCCCTGAAGAACGTCTTGCGCAATCGCGTGTATACATTTCTTTATTTCTTGCAATTCTAACAAGATTATAATCCGATAGACATCGTCTGCATGGTACGCGTGTCTAAATTCAAACGGATCTCATGAATTTGTTAAAACTGTCTTAAAACTGTCAGGAGTATCGAGCTTCGATTAATCGCCGTTCTTGCGCAGTGAATATTAATCACGTTTATGAAAACGCAGAGGAGAAGGTAGATTAAAATTCACATACTCTATCAAGAGAAGAGGAGAATGCAGATAAGATAGATTAAAATTCACATATTCTAGCAAAATTGATCGTTCTTAGTGTAATTCTATCTTTGAAAAGATTAAGCCATATGGCTATGTCGGCACTATACGGTGGAACTGCATTTATATGATCGAAGGCCATATACATATGGCAGGAATCTATGTTCAAACTGATAATTCTCGCTATCTATATTTTCTCTTTCAAATAATAGGATTTATAATTATGTTCAGACAAACATTTTCATCAGCAAGAATTAGCCTAATTCCGATGAATGATTTTCTACTGTCCATTTTTACTGTATTTTTACTATATTTTTAAAAGACAGTAGCTTTTTGCTATCTATATTTTCTGGGAACATTTTGACATGGAAAGATTCGAGTTATTCGATAGCATCCAAACTCAATTTCCACTTACTTTCATAACACGGTGATAGAGTCGCATATCCATAGATATAGTTTAATTTGGCGTATCATAAATGACATTGAACTTCTCTTGCAGTCCCTGTGCAATAATTTCCCTTGCTTGGCCTTAAAAATAGAGAGTTGAGCACATTCGAAAATATGCATATTAACAACTGAAAATAGGTCAGCCCGAATTTATGTAGCCCCACATCCTATCGATTTCACCAGCTTCTCATTTGTTAACAATTTGCGTCCGTGTGTATCACAAATACTGAAGTTATCTTACCGCGTAAAATATTTCACTTTTGGAGAACAATATTTTGGAAAATCGAAACGTGTTTTGATCAATCAATCAACAGCTTTACGTGACAAGTGAAAAGGTAGGATGATTGCGTACGATTCATTGATCATGTTAGCATTGTAATATGCTTCGCGATAGCGAAGAAGCGACTATGTAATCACCGCCTCGATGTAAACGTGAAAACGCGGCCAATTAAAGGATTAATCGATGAGAGGACTCTATGGATCGTACGATCGACGGTATTGCATATGCATGTTAGTCGATTGGATCGTGCACGTCAACAGTCCGTACAATTGACTTAATGAATTCTTATTCACTTTTAAATAACGCTCAGTTGTTTGTTTCTATCGTTAAAAAAGTTCTTCTAAAATTGGAAATCTTTTTTTTTTTTTTTGTTTCGTTCAAAGCTAGATAAGACATTTTATATGTCCTGCTCGAGTGTCTCCTATGTTCTTCGATCAGCTTTTCAATTTTTCCTCTATTCCAGTCTATTTTATTCTTTCCTTCTATATCTTCCTAGATTCCACGATCTTCTTATTCACGAGATGCACCATTTTCCTTTTTATTATCATACGTTGATTCAGACCAGGCTCCACAGTAAGATAAGCCATCGCCATAGCAACTGAATAGACTAATCCACGGTATACGCACCGTGACGCAGGAGCAAGATGTCAACTTGAAAGTTCAACGAGCTTGCCAAAAGCCCTGCGTTGTCGAATTGTGCATGTGCGTGCTGGACGAAGCTGTTGGTTCTACTCGACTGGGAAATTGCACGATGAGCGTCACGATCCAATGACGAAAATGTATGGTACGAGATAGAAGCTCAGATCCCTGAAGTTCGAGCGATAATGAGGACACGCTAATTTCCACGCTAGTCCCATAACTTTTAACCATTTATACGATAATTAAATTCATACAATGATCGTGAAATGAACGGCTAGTCAAAGACATATATATATATATATATATATGTATGTATATGCAAATGTATATGTCGTATACATATATATACATACACATATCATTATAGACGTCTGTATAAAATTCAACAAAATTTTTCTTTCGCGAAGAATTTTCCACGTCTGTCATTCGGTTTCAGTTTTCATGGGTTTTCATAGGAGAGAGAGAAGAAAGACACCTAAGGGTGTCTCCTTCATTCTTTATAGAACCGTCGACTCAAACGAGCATCGAAAGAGTATATGTATACGTATACATACACTAACAATATTAAGCCTAAAGAAATTCTTATTAACATTATTGCGCGTTTACAGTTGTTTTAGAGGATTTAACTAAGCCGTAATTGAAATATCAAAACTCCAGAAAAATGGATGATATTTAAATTGAATTACCTTCACTAATATAGCACATCAATTAACGCATAAAGGGCTGTTCTCATAAACTAATGAGCAGCGTATTGAGACAAACAATGATACTATATCACGAAATCTATTAAACATCTCGAAACTCTTCTTCTGTCGCAATTTATTCACGCAATTTGTATCACTCTCCCCGATTATGATCTTATTAATAACACCGTAAAACAACGACATAATTCTGTTCTTCCTTCCCTTCTCGTTGCCTCCTCGACGCGCGAATTCGGTTTGCGTGGCAAATAAAAGCAAACAAAGAAAGGACGGTTCATAAGATTCCAGTCCAAATCGACAGGGTCGGGAATTCACAGATTCGTTGTCTGCGCACCGTTCGCCGTTTTCCTCCATTCGCGTTAAATGGTCGGCCGCGCATAGAAGACTCTCGTAAACGCGATCGTAACGCAAAGATTACGGCGAAATGTATAATATGTTGGCAAGCGTATTAAACTTTTTTCATCGTTCTTGCTTCTTTCTTTTTTTCCTCACGTAGTTGATGTTGACCAATAAACTTTGACCTTTGGAGCCTCGGCACGCTTCGGTAATTCCCATTCTATGTTCATTCTTCCCCGAAGCAAGTTAGTAAAATGAACGCCGATCATTCGGACGATTCCAGGAGCAACATGGAAGAAATATGCATGAGGTTGAAAAGTTTAAAAAGAAATATATACCTGAATACGTGTGGAGAGCAGTAAAGTAGCTGGGAATATTTTACAGTGATTTAATTCGTAGCTGCTTAATGATAATTTTAAGTGGGAAACCGTGTTCCACCCTCTTTATCCTTTTATTATCCGAAGCTTCGGATACTCTTGCTAAATACACGATGTGACGCGAAGAACGCGTGGTGCAAAATCAGTTAAAAATGTAGAGCATAATTTTTTAATTGATCCCTCGTTTCCGTGAAAATTGAACGTGAAGATTAATTCTTGGCAAAATACCTATGAATTCGTTCAGACTTTAAGTGAAAGAATTTTATTGTAGATTTCCAATTTGTATTTAGACATAAAATAACTTTCTATTCGCTAATGCTATATATCATAAACCTATATATCATATCGTACTATTCAAACCGTATAAATGTAAAACTTTAGTATCCATTCAAATGATCCCAAATCATTCTCGAATAAATAGACTTTCATCTTTAAGATTGCAAGAGGCAGGAATACGCCGCACGTGTCACGTAACCTCACAGAAAAATCTCTTAAAAATGTAGTATGTTTCGGTTGCAATAATGCCAACGAATTTCCAGAAGGAAAAATAGGGAAAGTATAACGTGACAACGAGTACGATCCAATCAAACTAATCTTGGAAGCTTCCTTTTTCGTTCTAATGGGACCAACCTTTTTCAGATCTCAGGCTGAAGAGAATCTAACTGGCGGCAACGGTTCAGAAAGGAGGAAAAATCGAGCGAAAAGTGCGATAAGAAAAGAGGGAGGATATGGTTTCCTCGGCGATCTTCGGGGCAGCCGCTGGAACTGGCTTGGCCCTGTTCGTCGCAATGACGATAGTGGTGTATCGATATTACGCGGTGAGACGAAAGGGTAAATATTGGAGCAGTCTGGATCGTTGGCCAGATCCACCGGGCACGAAGAAGTCGGAAACACGACAAGAAGGCTGTTCCGAGCATTGTCACGACGCCTCCGCGTCACACGTGCTCAATTGTTGGCGAAAACAGCAGAAAAATTACCATGCAGTGCAGACTACGGTATGTAAGATATGCTTCTCTATATGAATCGCTATACGTGCCTCGAATAAAAATTACAAAGTTGCCTTGTCATATAGGAAAATAGAAATTTTTTTCTAACTCTTTTATTTCATAAGTTTTATAGATCGTATGTTTGATTTTATAAATATTTTTATCGCGGGATATTCGTTCGTAGATTAACGCGATAAATTAAAAAAAATGTTGCGCACATTCTTCCGATTTGAATCATAGTTTGTTACAATATTAAAATTTTGTAGTAATTCGCTGTTGTAAAATTTAGAATTTCGGACAGTTTTATAATTTCCTTTTGCTTAAGATTGATATTTTTTTTTTAGAATGTTCAGTGAAAAATATCGAATTATTAATCGATATGAAAAAGTATAATTTGTTTCGAATATTTAATTCCAATATCTGCGAAATTATTAGTGAGTAGTTAATTGAAGCAGCTAATTTTTATAACCGTCTATTCCGCTTGATTAAGATTTATTCTGATCACATGTCGAGAATATCATCGATACACGAGGTATTATAGGTTAGCTATACTCTATATGTAAGTTTGATGCGATCTAGCAGGTTAAATACCACGCACAAGTTTCCCCTAACTTATATCTATGCCACAAAATTACGTGGGATAGTTTTATAACTATGTAGATGCTATATCGCGTAATTTGAAATATTACTTCAAGTAATGCAAAATTTCATGCCCTTAAGACAAAACTTAGCTTAACAAAAGTATCGAAAAGTATCTCTCCCTTTTTTTTTCCTTTTTTCTTTTTAATAAGAAATAAGAAATTTTACTTCTTTATATTATTGTATGATAAATTTCCGAGAATATTTGTCAATTATATTTTTATATAATTCTCGTAATTTTGTAAAAGAAACTTTTAAAATACCACGTAAACTTTCAAGTTGATAAATCTCGTGACCAGCCAGACACAGAGCTTCATTAGTACAATTCTTCTTAATCTTATTTTCCACTACTTACGTTAAGTCTTAAGTAGCCTGACGCGAAGCTTCGTTAATACAATTCTACTGTAAGTAGATAAGCTTGTGATTAGTCAGACACGGCGTTTCGTACAATGGTACAATTCATTTTAATTTCAGTTTCTACTTATTACTTTAGGTAGACAAATTTTATGGCTAATTAGACAGAAATACTTTGTGAAATAGTTTTCTCTTCTCCGCCCAATCTGCAGTAATCAATAACCATAAAGTACCGTTGATAAACATTATAAAAATCAATTAGTTCTAAATGATAGCATTAAATTGGTATTTTTCCATATCCAATTTTATATTCTTTTTAATTCCTTCTTTAAATTTAAAATATAAATCGCGCTGACTTAATTAGATATAGAAAGATGTCAACTTATCGACCGATCGATGAGTAATAGATCCTTAATGACACTGTCCTTAATTCACTTGCAGTTAGATCACTCGACGTGCAAAAAAGTTAACCATTAATTAATGGTCTCGGTATTATTTGACCAACGTCAACATACTTGGAGCCGTCCTGAACCGTTGCGTAATTACCCAATTGTTTATATTAGCTTAATAGCGTGAACCGTTACTTTCAGTGCAGTAATACACCCGTATATTCTTTGTCCGGAACACATACACATCATTACATGTGCATTATAGTTTGCCATATTCCCAAACGCTAACATATCGATCGACTAACATACTGGATGTATGAAAAATTAGCTTGTATCCATAACATTCTAATTAAGTTTTTCCGGTTTCTACAGAAAAATGGGGAAACGTTTAATTTGTAAATTCTTCCAATTCTTTGTACATTAAATTTTACGATTGTGTTATTTCTTACTTTTATTTAAACATTTATATATATAGAGTGGAATAATTCACGACTCGATAAGAAATTATTACCTATGCGAATTTGATAATAATGATTCGTTGCATAGCGCGTACCATAACTGTTCGACTACATGCTCTGCTAATTACTTAACAGTCGGCTACTAATTTAAGGAAAATTGATTGTTTGCACGATGCGAAGGTATAATTGTTTCAATGGCATGCCGTGCGCGTTCCATTTTAAGATCAAAGGTATCCATGATAACTCTAACAATTACTCTTTAAAAATCGCTGTGTTTGATTGATGCCGGATGGTTTCTCGTATTCGTACAATTTATTCGTGAAATAATTTTTTAATCATTTATTGTTGTTAGTTATAAATTGATAAAAGTGTCTTCGCTTTTAATATAAACAAACGTTTAATTTAGTATCGTCGATATTGTATAATATAAAATTATATGATATAAAGGTACCAATATTTTGATCTATTATGGAAAAGTATGCTTAAAAAAGAGAAAAATAGAAAAATATTTTACTAAACTGTAATTATATTATGTTTCTATAAAATAATGATGAAAAAGGAAAACGATCGTGTAATAAAATAAACGTGCGTATGTCAATTGATTTATAAAACTCGCAGAGAACGTTTTTCCGAGACAGCGCGTACGGAGGTCACTCGTCAAAAATAATTTTTAGACTCGTTAGTAACAGCCACGTGGCTGTTGTGCACGTGTCAGCTTGTTAGCATGTAGTTTCGTTATTACAGAGAAATCCACGTATGTGTCAGCGGAAGATCTCGCTGGTAGAGCATATTTATCTTAATCAGTATGTACATACAGAAATGTAATTGAAAAGAGCATCGCGAATACTTTAATTGTGTAATACATTTAATTGTGTTTTAATACATTTAAATGTGAAATTTCTAGTAGAATTATATCACCTTTGATTCCAGGCATTCCGATAATTTTTAGTTTTTCAATGTTTATAGAATTCTTGATAAGCAATCAATGTTTAATTATTTTAATTTGATTTGTATCCTTTAATTCTGTTTTAATTTTCGTTTCATTTTTAAAATTTAATTTTCATTTCATTTTATTTCATTCTTCGTTTTATTCTGTGGATAAAGTACAGGCCTATAAATCTGTTTAGGAAAATACCGACAAAGCAGAGTCGGTAAAAATTTTAAGTAATCGATAAGTTCTTAGAGAGAACTAGTCGTTTCGATGTAGGTAAAACAGATTGTCAGTATTTTATGTTGTTTCTCTAGTGATAACGTTGATATCCTTCTTATCACTTATTGGTTACAAAATCTACCACTGTAAGAGAGAGAAAGAGAGAGGACTGTCTTGAGGATCGAAGGCACAGACGAGGTAGAAAGTATGACTTACCATCTTATGGAACTTTATATTTACCATTGACTATCTAGCCTGTGTTTTGTATTCCATGTTCTAAAATACCAACGATGAATAAGAAACACATATTCCTCATCTTCGCTTCTCCTTTTATCGATGATCGATATTTTTTTTCGACTATGGATAAATTTTATCACGATGGGTATATTACAACAGAATTTCTTTACACAATTTAACTCAAAATACATAAATTCTCCATCTATCGTTCCACTTGTTGTTAATTATTAAAAATACCATATATTTCTCATATATTTGAAATGGATAAATTTAACGGAAGATTGAAATTAAATTTTCTTCTGCTACCTTAAACTTTCCGCAGCTTAAAATTCTGCTAATAATTCTACATTCAAACTAACAAGTCATTATAATTCATAATAATAATAATAATAACACAAAATTCATATAATAATAGGAAATAAACAATTATACAGGAATTTCGATAATAACTAATACCTTTTAATTGCTTCTTATGGCATAAGGATTATTTTCTCATCGAATCTGAACGAAAAATGATACTCCTTGCCGTGAGACAAACGAAGTTTCTGTTCGAACGATCGATCAAACGACAGTTGTTCACGGCATTTAATGGCACACCAAGGAAATCCATGTTCTCGAGGCAGTGAGAAACAGAGCAACAATTTACTGCTCGCGTTGCGTCCATCAGTTTGACGCTGAAACTTCTCGCGAAAATCTATTAACTTACGCTATATTGCGCTCAATTCATGGAAATTTCGCACGATAAACCGATTAAGACTCGTCGCTCGTGCGCAGTTTACGTATGACCTTCCGCTTTTCGATTCGACAAAGTCCGCTTACAAGTACCGATCGTTGCGAATGTAACTCGCGAGAATGGACTCGGCAGGGATACAGAAAGATAAGCGCGGGGAAACATAGTATATCGCCATTGCTTTTATTTTTCCCTGGCTTTAAAATTCACCCGGTTCGCTGTATAATTTAACGAAATTCGTAATCTCCTTTATCGTGTCTACTACCTGTACGCGCGCAGATACAGAAACTGGCCGTTCCAACCGGGAATCCAGAATATGGAATGTGGATCGATACAGCGCTCCACAACGATAGATATCGTGCCTTCGAAACGCCGCGTACACAGTACAAATGGCGAAAAGGCGGCACACAGGGATTCGCCTGGCTCGGATAGATTCCGAAATTTTTATTATTTCCTCGATAGCTCCATCCGTGATATTGCCTTTTGACAAAAAACAAGGAGAAAATTTGTTAAAAATATATAGTCTTGCAGAGCTTAGTCTAGCAAATAGCGGATTCTAGGTTTCTATGCTACGAAACTAACGGAAGTAACGGTATTTCACGTTTCATGGAAATAGACTCTCGATATGCTGATTTGTACGAAATACAAAAGAAGATACAAAAGGAATATCGTTACGTTAATTTAATTTTCTTCTTCTACGAATCTTCACCATATCTATACGTAATCGAAATATGTATCAACGTGAACGTGTTTCAGTCAGAACGTGCTTAAGTCAATGGAAATTTGAATTTCGCCCAATGGTGTATTGGTAGATGTATTAGATTGGCAACTAAGTGATTGTGGATTTTGTCATTAGATGGTATTGACAAAACCCGCAGTCACTTAGTCGCCAACCTAATACATCCATTGGATGATGTTGCGTTTAAAAAATTGACGCGTGTAGGTAGCCGGCGTATCTCGTGGAATTTGTATCGTCGAAGCTGCCATGTTTCCAGGTATTAATAAAGAATCGCGGCCAGAAGCATATCACGTACGGGTGCTCGTACACAGAC